CTTTCTGCTCCTATGATGCTGCTTGGCCTGCTGTGTTCATCCAGCTCTGCACCTTGTTGTCTTGGATTCTCCAGCATCTGCAGTTCCTACTATCAATGAGTAAGGAGCGTTATCTCTATGGTCCCTAATGTGCGTCTGACCTTGTAAAAAGTGGGGACAGGCCTCACCGAATACTTTGCTCAGTGCTCACATGGAGCATTGGTACAGACATCAGAATGGAGCACAGTGAAATAGTAAAGGATTTAATATAGGGAGAGAAGAGATACTAGAGGGTTTAGCAGCCTTAAAAATGGATAATGCTAGATGTCCAGGTGAGTTGTCTTCAGGTTGTTGAGGAAATAGAGGTGCCCTAGCAGTAACTTTCAATTTCTCTCTGACCACAGTTGAGGTGCCAGAGCATTGCTACAGTTCTATTTCTTAAATGCAGAAGGAATAGATCAGGAAATGAGAGGCCAAGCCAATTAGCCAAACCTCAATGGATGGGGAAGTTATTAGAAAGAATTCTGAGGGATTTATCTATTATACTTGGAGAGATAATAGTTAATCAAAGGTAGTCAACATGGATTTGTTAAAGGATGGTCATTTTTAGCACATTTGATCAAATATTTTGAGATTGCCTTGAGTGTTGATGAGGACATTGCATTTGATGTGATCTACATAGACTTCAGCAAAGTTATTGATAAGATCTCTCATAGCAGACTCTTCAAGAAAGTAAAAATCCATGGGATCCAAGGAGGAATAGCACGTTGGATCCAAAATTGGCTGAGAGCCAGGAAGCACAGGGTGATTGTAGATGGATGTGACTGGAAATCTGATCCTAGAGAAGTGCCTTAAGACTCAGTGCTGGGGTCCTTGTTGTTTGTGGCGTACATTAATAATTTGGACTTAAATGTAAGAGGTATGATCAAGAAGTTCATTGACGATATGAAAATTGACGTGGCAAATAGCCTAAATGGGCTGGTCAGCTGACAGAGCAGTGACAAATGAAGTTCAGCCTGGAAAAGTGTGAGGTCATGCAGATAGAGAGGGCTAACCAGGCAAAAGGAATTACACTATGAATGGTAGGACCCTGGCAAAGTACTGAAGACCAGAGGGATCTTGGTATGCATATGTCCAGTTCCTCGAAAGTAGCAGGGCAGTTTGATAAAGTTGTGAAGCAGGTGTATGGAATATTTGCCTTTATTAGCCAAGGCATAGAATACAAAAAAAAATTATACTAGAACTATAAAATGATAGTTAGGTCACAACTGGATCAATATGTCCAGCGATGGTCACAACACTACAGGAATGATATGATTTCACTAGAGAATGTGCAGAGGAGATTTACCATGGTGCTGCCTGGGCTGAAGGGTCCGAGATATGAGGAAAGATTGGACAGATTAGAACTTTCATTGGATCAGTGACGATTGAGAAGGGACCTGTTAGGCATTTCTTCCTCACGAAGTAAGAGGGAGAAAGTTGTGGAGAGTTGAAGATGAAATCTTCACTCAGGGTGGTGGGTGTCTGGA